AAGATTCACTTGAAAATTTTGGGTTCTCTCTCTCTTCTGGTTACTGAAATGGTATCTCAGATTTACTTGAAAAGTTTGGGGTTTGTGGAAAATTTTTGGGAAGCCATTGATGCTCTTTTTCTTTTCTCTTTGTTTTACTCGGGAGAGAGAGACGAGACGACTCAGCGACTGAGGGTTTTTTTTCTCTCTCTCACAGCTGTTAATTTTATTTTTGTATAGGATGGAAAAATTGGCCAAAAATACAATAAAAAAAATTATAATTTAAAAACCGATAAAAAAAAATCTCAAATCTAATAGTTTATAATTTATCACATATCCCATTTTTTCTAACTTTAAAAAAAAATATTTTTGGTTATTCACAAAAAGAGTCTTACCTAATTGATCACTATTTTGCATTTTCGTCAATTTGTTTTTAATATTCTTGTAAATTGTTTATAAGAAAATGAGTTGGTAATAAAATATTCTCTAATCAATCAATGCGTCCATTCTTTTTATTTTGTTTTTCGGTGTTGAGACGACTTAACTATTGGTCTTTTTTATTTATACACATGTCGAACAGTAATTAAAGTTCAAGTGTCATTAGTTGAGCTCGCGTCGTTTTAGACTTTTAGTATTACTAAAATATAGTACAATGATCCACTAAACTCGGATTTGAATTGTTAGACTTGATTAAAAAATTATATATTATTGTAACCATAGTTGTATTATTTTAAGACTCGCCGGGTTAGTCTATTCTTTAATCGAGTCATTATTTTAGTAACCATTGACCAACAAGAACAGGAGAAATAATCATATAACTCCTATCGAACTAAATCAATAATTTGATTTTTTATATATATTTGAGTAGAAAGACACGAAAACAAAAAAGGATAATTAGAGTAGATGACTTTACACCCAATGCTTGTTGGAATATTTAAGGATAATTAGAGTAGATGACTTTACACAAAAAAGGATAATTAGAGTAAAAACCATTTTTCCATAATAGTATTGTGTTTTTCAAATTTTAACATACATTACAAGATATTAAAAAAAAAAAAACATGCTGTACATTACAAGATAGATTATTTACAAAAATGTTTCCGCGTCTTTTTTATAAATACAACCGAACATTATGTGATACCACAATCTAAATTTTACCTTGAACATAACTCAAATAACTGTCGAAAATAATTATTATTGAGATTGGGACTATTTACCATG